CAAAACTTTCACATGTGATTTGGCTTTTATTAAAGAAGGCAAAAAGAGACCATGTACTAGTTTTGAGCTGACAATTTTAGAAACAATAATCTATCATGATTGTTATATTTGGATAATCTTTATGTTAGCCCATAAACTCATTCCGTTATCTCAATTCAATCCTCAAGCTTATATTTGATCCAAATAGGCCCATCTAATGTGTCATACAATATGGCCAGTAGATCCAAAGTGAACTAGAAAAGTTGTATAACTCTTCTTGTTTACTAATCCTAATTGGATAGTTCAATAGTTAAGAGTTTGAAGTTTCAAGTTGGAGATATTAAGTTCGACCCTTAAGTCAGGTGGAGAAGGGTTTGAGAATAGAAGATGATTTTTTTCTCTTATATAACCCATAACTAGATGTATAAAAACAACTATTTTTGTTCACTAAGACCTTAACAAACTAGCTAGTGATGGATGGCCAGGAAGTAGGATGAGGATTGAGAGAGCCATCTTGTGTTAGTCTTTATCACTCAATAAAATCGTAAGGAACTAGGGACGGGGGAGGAATGTCTCATAATTTTATGCAAAATTTGGGGCTTAAAATTTTGGGGATTACGGGACCGACGAAAAATGTTATCCATAGATAAATGGTCCGCTATGATTTATAAAAATAATGATAATTAAAACAAAAATTTTATTTTTATAGAGAAAAAATTAGGAAAAACAAAGTATGAACGTCTTGCCTTACGGACCCTTCTAGGATAGTTTTGATTTTGATTTTTTATATATTTAGTAATTAATACGAGTTTAAAATTTTAAAATGCATAAAAAATTATGAAAAAAGGAAGGCCATCTCATATTAATTTCATAACTAATTGTCTAATTACCTAAAAAAATGAATGTATTGCTTCTTCTTCTTCTTTTCCAAAAAAATGTCTTGTTATTAATATCATAAAAAATATATATTTAGTTTGAGAAAAATGAAAAAAAAAAGGTGCATGACATTCTTTTATTTTCCTCTCTTCCTCTTTTATTTTTTAGATTTTTTTATTAATTAAATAATTTTTTTTTACCATTCTCTCTCTTTCCATCGAACCAAACTTACCGTAAATTAAGGGTTTTTTAGTGTGCTCACCTTAGTTGTTGTGCACATTACTCCCTCTGAGTATATATTATATAAGAGGTACAATTTTTTTTTTTATTTGGATTTGTGTCCCTATCTCAAACTAATCCCGTCGTATTTTCAAGGTCATAATCTCACATTGGCATTAAAAAAACAAAATTCTTTTAATGTTGTTTTTAAATTTTAAATTTTAAATTTGTTATATAAAATAAAATTTGTTTTAGAATAAATCTAAGCATTGGGTTCGGTACATATTTATTTTGAAAAACCAATGGATTTAATTAAACAAAAAAAATGTTGGAATCACTAATTGAAACCGTAAAATATATTATGATATATTGTAAATTTTAATTAAGTT